TCAATTTACTCTCATCTTCAAACTTTAGTAGCTGTATTGAACTGTGTGCTTGAGGCTGCAAATATCTTTAAAGAACTAGCTTCCTCCACTTGCTGCCCCCAACCACAACCACCAGCAAAGCTACAGAAACCAGACTGTCCAAGGGTGAGTGAGAAAGAACATAATTACTTAAGGCTTTGTGAATTCCAAGACAGCTCACTAACACTGGAGTCTATAGCAGAGAGTGTCAAAAATCTTATCTTCATCTGCTGATACACTGAAATTGAAAAAACTGGTACACATCTAACATGAACAAAAAAATCTTGTATCTTATTGACAATTATAAGAAATATACTAAAAGTCAGTGCTACAAAATGTTAAGGTTTCCAAACCAGAATACAGTTAGCATATAAGATCACAAGCACATTCTCAGTTACTGACAAAATATCTAAAAAACCATTTTCTTCATGTATTTCAATCCAAGCTTAACAGCCCTTTGACTTCTAGTTAAGGTACCCACAGCCACTTCAGACACAAGCTTTGATTTATGGACTAATTAACAGTTTCACCAAATATTAAAAATACATATCTCTACTAGGACATAAGAGCATTCTGATTTCAACTAATAATATCCTTGCAAACAAGTAGAAATGTCTGCATTTTTTCTATTATTGTTCCCTAATAAAGTTGGAGAACAACCATCCTAGCAAATTCACCTAGAAAAGCCATGACAAACCTTAGTGTGAGCTATCCCTTCAAGCCTTTTGTAAGAGGGTCAAGCCCTCTGTTTTTCAGAGAAGTTGCCTTTATCACTCCAATGGTAACATTTCTAGCTAAGTTCTTTACTGAAGAGCTAGAAATGAAAAAAAAAGAACCCACCATGTACAATTTTTCCCATATTAAAGGAAAAAACAAGCTGTTAGCCAAGTAGCAGAGGACATTCCAAGTTAAATCTATCACCTGTAATTTGTGAGGTTAAATTCGCATCCTTGAGGATGAGATGCCTCTGAACCACTGGAGAGAAATGCTGGATGGAGAGAACTGCTCAGAACTGCTCTTGCACATGCAGCTTCAACCCCCTAAGGCTCCACACATGAGAGCCACTTGTACACCCTGCTCAGAGCAGAGCTCCACGCTGGACACCTGCAGCCACATGTTTCCCAGTCCCTATCTTTGCTCCTTCAAGCCACCACTCCCCAGTTATATGGCTGGACCACTCTTCCCACCTGGCCAGAAAATAAAGAACATTGCTCCTGACTGAGCAGGGGCCATGCCTACTTGCCAGAGGAACTTTTCACCCTCTGTGAATTATCTGAAATTTTCATCATTTCTGTTGCAAATTCAGTTCATGTTAAGTTAATGAAGTCAACTGTTTACTGCTGCAGACTCCTACTTCTTGAGCAGAATGAGGTAAAAGGTGCTGTGACTGCTCTCCTGAGCTCCTCCCTTCTCCTTGAAGCTCTATTACAGTTCTGCTATTACTGATGGGAAACTTTATCCCACACAAGTGGTCACCAAAATAGCTGCATATTTTTAAACCACAATTCCTTTGAAGCACTGCCTATGAAAATACTCCAAGATGAATGTTTCTCAGTACTTTGGGGTTTCAGGTCAGGTCACTTTGTGGGACTGGAGCAGTTGGCAAGGTCTCATGAGTGATTTGCAATTATTTATGAAAAGCTAAATTAGACAAGGATATAAATCTTGGTAAGATAAGCATGGCAGCCATGCCATGATACAAAGAAGAGAAAACATATGTATTGCTTCTCAACATTTGACATGATTAAAAAATTGAGGGAGGAAACATCCCCTCATGAAAGGAAGGAAACCAGGCTCTTAGTTTGTACTCTTAAAAAAAAATAATTAAAATAATAACCTGCTGTGTTTGAGTATTCAAGAAATACATCTAAGAATGTATCACAAATTATTAGTGTATTTATCTCTTTTCCCTGGCTTTTTTGTGGTTTTGTTTGCATTTTTTTAATGTAAACTAGCTTCGTAGTTAGGAAAACAGAGATGGCTCAGACTTGCCAGGACTAGTACAGTGCCAGCAGCTCCTGGTTTTGTTTCCCTGGCATCTCTAGTGTGGTACAAACTGCCTGCAGGTGCAAGAACACTCATAAATACAGGCAAAAATCACCTACATCTTTTCCAAATGCCACTGTATGAGGTCCTATAAAGGCAAACAAATCAGAATGGGAACAAGAAGAAGAGACCTTTTATTTGCCCATATGCATACATATCTAACTCGAGTACTCTTTACCTTATCACTTACTCTGTGGCCATTTTCTCAAGGATTTAAGGGAGAATAGGCCTAAAGGCAAGGTATGAATTAGAAGAGGACATTGACTTTACATCTGAGATGGCAGAAGGCATTCTTTGCACGAGTCAAAGAGCAGAAAAACAGAGATTAAAATATGCATTCGCCAAGCTGAGGAAACAACACGGTGAAAAGCCTTGTAGCTACCAAATAATTCCATCCAGGCACACTTTAACTACTTCATGTGCGGCAGCTCTTTTTCCCAACTGATAAGCAATATCAAATGTCCTGGTTCAATTCAGCCCGTGTCCTTTATCGGGACCAGCCACTAGATGGTGACCCTGTCCCAAATCTTACCTTCCCCTGATCAGAGGGCAGTGGTACAGACCCAGGCTAAAACCACTAATCCCAGCTGCTTGCTCAACTGCACCATGAGAACCAGATGCTTTCATGCAAGTGGGCTGGTTGTCATCCATAAACAGCATTTTAAATGGAGGCACACCCTTCAGAGACCAGGATTTGCTCCAAACCCATTTCCCTTGTGACCAATTACCATGAACGGCTCAGGAGGGTAACAACTGCTACACTTCTCATTATTGTTTCAAGGATTTATTTTATTGGTGTGCAATATGAGTAATTTTAAGTGAGAGCTTTGGCTGAAATGCATGCTCATTGCGTTTAAGTGAGTGAAGGATGTGGAGGATTCGTTGTTTACTAATGGAGACACATGGGACAAGTTATTCTCCCAGGCCATTCTCTTACATAGTGGCTAAATAAAATATATAGGGAGCAGCAACGTGACTGGGAGGCTGAAGAAAAGCTCCTTCTGTCCTGAGGCCACTGACTACACCAACAGTTAAAAATACTGCTTTAACACCAGACACGTGATATGCCAAGGAGGATGGTAGCCATTTTATTAATCCAAATACTATACAAGCATTCACTTACAAGAGCAATTTACTGAGACCTTTTTACCAGCTTTACTAGCAGCTCTCTCATTTGATCTGCCTCACAAGAACTCCTTTCTGTGCTGGTACATGCTGGAGGGCTCACATCACACAGGGCTAAGGCAGCTGGTATGCTTTAGACTCCTGAGTATACTCAGCACACTACTGAGTGTCATTTATGGGGGTGTCCCCTAATGTGGTCAAGGCAGGATGCTTTTACATACAGATTTTCTAGTACTGGTGCTGATGGTGCTGCTAAGATGGAATTGCTGTCTCCCTTGCTCACTCTCACAAGATGCATTCCTTTTCACACTCCCCTGGCTGATCTGTTGGCATTTGCTATCAACACTCTTGGTTGCCCTAAAACCAGAGGACCATAACTGAAGGTGGATTGTGTCCTTTGAACAGTAAGTGTGGCCCAACTGTATGCAGACTTTTGGGAGGCTCTATTAAATTGCCTGGTGGCTGCAGGCTTCTGTGAGCAGCAAGTACCTGGTGCCTGCTTTAGGAGGGGGAATAGATAGCAGCCCTTCACCTATTACTCCACTTCCACAGGAAAGCAGAGAGGAGAGGGAAACACTGATTACAGCAGGGGATTTATGAAGAGGGGAAAAACCAGAAGCCTCCAGCCAGTTTGATGATCTGTTACTACTGAAAGTCGCCTCCTCCCCCATGACCAAAACAGAATTCTTTTATAAATCAGAGGGTTGAATTTGAAGCCTTCAAAAAATACCATGGAGAAGTTTTCTTTTGCCTCATTCCATCATGACCTTCATCCAAGGTCAAAAAAGACAAAACAAACCCTTTTTGCTTTGTTTTTGAAGAAGTCAAATTCAGCTGTGCTAGTACACAGCATCACCAAAGAACATCAAGGAAGCAAAAAAAAGAAGAGGTTCACTGCTGGTTGCCTTCCTCTCATACCCTGACCAACAAACTTGTTCCCATTACTGGCACTCCAAATCTTGACTTCTCGTCTTTTCAAAGTGCTCTCAGGAACACTAACAGAGAAAGAGCACCTTTTCAACACCACTCACCTCTGCCAGTCAGTTGCCACATAAATTTCACATTGTAAAGGACATGCGTTTACATCAGCAAGCGTGTTGGTAACTAAAAATGAAAGTCTAAATAAAAACAGGACAGCAAGACACACATAACTTTCCTTCCCCTGTTCTAACCAGAATTATGACATTTACTTTTGGCCTTTGTTTTACAGATCCAAAAAACTTCCCCTGTCTGTGACATGGCAAGTCTGTTTGAAGGCCACCCCAAAGAAAAGTGGAAGGCAATTAAATGGGTTTGCCCAGGCCTAACCTTCATATAAAACAACTGATCATAATTACACTTGCTAAATATTAACCACATTTCCCATCCCTGCAGATTTCCTTGCCACTGAGATTCTGTTTGCACAACATGCTGCGCTGCTCAATTTCTAACACTGCAAAATAAGGAGTGATACAACTTTTTCATACAAGATTTTGATTGTGTCAGACCTTCCATCACCTCAAAAAGTATAAACTTCTCTAGAAGGGCTTTACTTGGGAGAAAGTTAATCCTCCCAACAAGACCATAAATTAAAGAAACAAGGTTGCATAAAACAACCAGGCTTGGTTAGTGCTTGTCCTTTCACCTGTAGCTTATTAACTGGATACAATCTTTGTGATGGCAGCAGTATCAAGCATTTTTCTCCCTCCCTACATGGTGCATGTGATCCTATGGAAGTCCAAGCACTCTTTGAAATACATAAGAATCGGAGAGAAACAAGAGATCTCTGTTAAATGAGAACCTGCAAATTCTCTTCTGGACATTTCTTTCAGGTTCCTATCTGCAACTTGGTCAAAGACTCTTCAACTGCCCAGCACTTCCCCTGCATTTAACTCCTGATGTTACTTCCCCTCCTTTCCCATCATACACACTGTTGGGAATACAGAGGGAAGACTGGATGGAGAAAGAAGAATGGAGGGATCTAAAACGCATTTATATTCATTTAAAAAATCCAAGTAGAATCTCTTAGATCCATATGTAGATGTTAGTACATGTAAAAACTAGCTTCAGGAAATACTTCATGAAAAACACAGAGAAGCTAAAGGAAGAAAAGAAGGAAAAAACACATTGTCTATTGTTACCAGCTACTAAACTCAGTGAAGCCAGGTAGACATAAGAGATTAGCTAGGTCAGGCGTAGAGTTGAGTTACTGGAGTTACATGCATTGCTGGGTAAGTCTCACAGCTTGCATCAACAGAACATTCTAGGTTTGCTATAGATCTAAGCAGAGATATTGCAGACTATGTAATAAGCGTACCTACAGCATTGAGAACATTCTGGTAAAATAAAAGGAGAAAACAATGTCATTCCTGCCAACTAGACATTTTTCTGTCTCCCTTTTGGCAGGCTTTTTTTTACTTTCCACCTATATTTTTTAACTCATCACTGGAAGCTGAATTCAGGCTAAAGGCAAAAGGCAGTAGGCAAGAATCAGAGAAAGGGAAGGAAAAATGATACAAGTGGAGGGAGGGGAAGGGAGTGTCTCATGTACAGAGCACAGCAGAGGCATCTCACATCTCTCTCCAAAGAGTGTTTTCAGCAGAGTGCATTGTCCAAGGAGTGTTTTCAGCAGAGTGCCTTTTGCCTCATTCTGTGCCTGTGACGACTGCCAAAGGCAGAAATGCTTTCAGCCAAGGTTAGCAGTGTTGGAAAGATGGTTGTCAAAACCAACACACAAAAGCTCTTCCAAACCCAGCTTACAACAGCGGATAACAAGTATATGACTCAGAGCAATACTCTCAAAACACCTTTTCCATTTCCTTTTCTCTACATACAATTGGTGCAATAGAATAAGATTTAGTTCAGCCCTCTCTTCCAGATCAAGTACTTCTCGACACAGTACATAGAGGACCAGGGGAAGCCAGGCTGAGACAAGGCTCTGGTTTCCCACAGTTCTTTGGAATTGTTCAAAGGAGCCACAGGTCTAAGCTTTCCACTCAGAGAATATGGTAGAGCTGATGTGAGACCAATTAGGGGCAAATGGAAACCATATGTGATTTTAATGAAACAAGAAGCTGGTGCACATAACTTAACTGCTGCAGGAGCATTTACCGCCTGAAAGGAATGTGCATCTGGCATTGATCGTTTCCCAACCCATCAAGTGAGCAGTAACATGGAAAGCAAATTGAAGCATATGATGAGAGATTAATTACCTAAAGAGTACAGTTAGGGGAGCAGCCTCTGCAAGGAGAAAACATGTCCTTTGCCTGTGATTAAGTGATACAGCTGTAATGAGGCTAATCTTCTATTTCCACAGTTCATGATGATAAACTGCAAGAACGAGTGCTAAAGTGATTAAAATGGATCAAATTATATTTTCAAGAACCTACCACAATCACAGAAATCCCATTCTGATTCACATGGGGCAGACTTTTTTTCTCTTGAGGTCATGGGCACTCTTCAAAGAACAAAGTACTGTGGAAACTAAACAATTCTCAAATGATGTTGCTTTCTAGTGTGCATCAAAATGGGTACACAAAGAGATTTCAGGTTGAAGAGGCAATATAGACACACCCTTCTGAATTTTTTTTTTATAAATTACCCAAGAAGTTTCAGTTCTGCCAAGAAAGGGAAGTCCCCAGCCTGTAAAGTCATAGATAAGTTGCTTTACGGGGCTCTGGTAGTTTCTCCTGTAGGTTGTTGTGTTGCAGCTTGATAACAAACTAAGCTGCAGTTTGTTTCAGAACAAACCCACTGTCTCCCCTAAGCAGCCAAGAGATGGCTCACATACATCAAAGAGGAGGTGAGGGAAGATGTTCTGATCCAGCACTTGACCAGTGAATGCCCAGGGCTTGAACCTGGTAGATGCTACTTGGCATATCAAGTAATGATGAGACTTCTGTAAAACCAGACACATACAACTGGCATGGTTTTGCCCTTAGTGCTAGATTTCCCTTGGGCTATAACCAGAGTTAACAAGCATCATAAATTCATCACTGTATTTTTTAAGGATGCAATAGAAAAATTTTTGAGCCAAATCTGCCAATTTATTAGTCTTTCTTAACCCACTGTGCAATCCACAAACCCACTGGGCACCAGATCCGAGCAGTTCAACAGGAGGAAGAGGAGGAGGAAAGACAGTCCTACTAAAGAGAACATCTGAAGGCAGTTTTCATCTATGCATTAGAAGTAGGGCATCTCTGACAGTCCATGTAAACCTTTCAAAAGAGGGATTATCAAAAGCCACAGGCCTGGACACTCCCTGCTTCATCAGCTTACTTCAGAGGACTCTCCTTGCTTCAGCACCTTGCCCGTCTGGGATGGGTGCCAGCTTTCTGCACGGAGGCTGCACTCCACTGATCACATGGTTTATGCTCAATTTTGCACGTAGGAGCTAGAGGGGAAGAACTGTTTGGGAACATGTATAGATTTCAAGGGTACTGGGTGGGCCTGCAAATTCCTTCCTGCATTACAAAACTTGCACTAAACTGACAGGTTAAGCAGCTGTCCACACCAGAGAGGTATACGTATTTAACCAGGTCAGGCCTACAGGCACTGCTCTGCTGCTCCTATTCACACCGGGCTTGACAGGACCTAGTATTTGGTCTGCTAGACCCTGAAATTAAACCTGCATTCAAACAGTTTCCCTTTTCCCCTTTGCCCACCATTCTTGAGACATCATCAATTGTTCTCAAGCTGCCAGCATCTGCAGGCTGTTCACATACACTGGACATGTCCATGACACAGTTCTGGTTGTATCACAATGTTTAAGGAATTTACTAATTGCCCATTTTATTAATGTCTGTTATGTAATCACAGTAGTTACTACCATGTAGTACATGATATAGTACAGATCTTAGGTACACGAAGAATTTTATGGAGTATGAGCACCACGTAAAGCTTTAGGTGTAACACTCAGGTCCTGATTCACTGTTCATTAAAGCGAGTAGGAAACCTCCCTGAGTCCTGAGTGAGCCTCACATAGCACAGTTCCCAGCAGTCTACAGGTCAAGGACAAGGACAATACAAGGTCACGATTAGGACAATACCAGGGCAATCTGACTAATCTGCCTGCCTATCCAGAACTTTCCAGAAGTCCCTGTAGTGCCCTGTCATAACTGCATTCCAAAGCATCATCCTTCACTTTTGACCTTAGAAGGCCTGAAGAGCTCACTGTTGATTTCTTGTGGAAATCAGGTAAAAAACCAACCAACCAAAAAAAATCCCCAAAAAACCAAAACCACCAATTCTTTACATGAGCAACACAAATACTGCACGCTGTGCATCCTCTGGCTCTGAAGACAGATTCTCCCTGTGCAATGAGACAGAGCACTGACAGCAGAAAAGGTAGATAGCCAATGCCAGTCACCTTCCTTCTTCAAACAGTTTGTTCAAACTCCCTGACTGTCCTACTGACAGACTAGCCTAAGGTGCTCCATGGAAACTGCATCTCATTCTTCTACTACCCAAGCTTTCTTCATACATACTTTTCATCAGAATTTCATATCCATGAACAAGCCAGTAGACCATAATCAAAATGGATTTCCAGAAGTAGTGTATCATTACTAGGGTGCTTATATACATCCTTGGTGCTACCAATGACATATTAATGAGTTATGACTCAGCCAGACTTGTGTAAGTGCAGAGAACACATTCAATGGTTATTTGTGCCTGTCTACCACCAATTGTTGACTTTTTTTTTGCACAGCAAATATTTATACAAATTAAAGACTAAACCATGCTGTTTTATTCTTAGACAGTGTTGATAATAAGTGGATTTTAAATGGAAATGCTCAAGTCTGACTGTATGAATCTGATGGAGATTCCCTCTGAAGTGAATGTCACTTAGTTCATCTGTGTTGGAGTTTGACAGCTTCTGAAAGAATTCTTACTGAAAACTTCCATACATTTCCAACTTGAAGGAGGCAAGCTTGCATTCCCATATCACTTCTTAGGTGTCCTTGTAATTTTTTATAAAAAAAACTAAAGGTCACAAGATATGGTTGGGTAATCATTTCACAGCTGCCCTGGCACAGTGATGGCTATTTTTGAATGCTCTAAGGCCCATTAACTGCTTGAGAGGCAGAAGTTCTCTGGATATGGCAGTGCTGAATATTTACAGAGAAGGGTAATCATTTCCAGGGTATCCACCAAGCCTGACTGTTTCCTGCCTGTCTCCATCTCCTCAGACCTTGCTGTAACAGGACTATTTTGGCAAAGTAATGAACCACGCTCCCAAGAGCCAGCTTTGCAGGGCTGGAGTTAAGCTCGCACCTGGAACACAGGTGTAAGCTTGTTTAAACATTGACAGGGGGGGAACTAACAGAAATACGAGGGGAAATACCTCGTCTCAGTCCACTGGCAGCAACACAATCACAAAGCAAACTTGTTTGTTCATTAATGCAGCAAACACAAGGAGAACAGCCTATTGACAAGGACTGGAGCAAGCAAAGGGAATCTAGTTTTGTGTTCTAAAGGGAATTCTCAGCATTCAGGAAAGGCTAACTATAAGCCTAGAAGGACTAATGAACTGGAATCTCTCCCAGCTTGAGAGGTAGTGTGTAACCTGACCAAAATCATCACTTCCAGAAGTGGAGGCTGTTACTGTTAAGCCATCAGGGATGTTTTTGGAAAGGCTTTTCCCTGTCAGGAATCATGGCTTTACTTAAGTCACAAATTTTTAAGGGAAGTATCAACTTCAGCAAAATTGTTTTTTCATTATTTTCCTCAGAAAAAAATTGACCTATTTTTAGCCTGCATCAGCAATTATCTTCAACTGCACTTAAAGTCTTAATGTTGACATGAAATGACACCTTCAGTCAAATTAAATTGGTCATTGTCAATGAATCCTTCAAAACATTAGATTCAGATGTATCTGAATCATTTTTCCTAGAAAATGTCATGCTGAAAACTCCAATATTATCATTTTTTCTCACATTTCAGATGGAATAAACTTCCACCATTTCAAAATTCTTTATGAAGCAGAAAATCTGACCCTCCTCAGCAAGTTTCTAGCCTTCTCTTTCACTGTACATAAATCAGGTGACAACAACAATCTCTAATAACAGAAGAAAGAGTAATTCCATTTTTCTCCTCATTTTTCAGACATGGCAAGTAAATTCATACCAATGAGAGCTGCAGGTGCTGAGAACTTGCATAATTTCAAAAAGTAAGCCATTATCCCCTATGATTTCAGAGTATCTAAATTAAAACCAGCATTCAACATCAAAGATCAGGCCTTTAATTCACTGTACCAATAAAGTCTGCCAACACTGCAGACTGTAAATGAATGTAGACCTACAAAAACCATTTTTTAAAGCAACTTAGGATACCACAAACAC